GCCTCAGTGCCGCCAATGGCACGCCAATAGCCACCTATGGTCATCGGTCACTTACCCTGGACCTAGGTCTTCGGCGCACGTTCCGCTGGGTATTCACTGTCGCTGCAGTCCTCTTTGCCATCATCGACATTGACTTTCACAAGCATTTCTACCTCTTGGTCGACCGAAACGCCAGATGATAGTCGATGCTGCAACAAACCTCAGTGCACTTGGCATCTCCGCCGATGTCCCATCTATATCCACAGTCTATGTAATTCCTCAGATCTCGCCATACTACGCTAACCTCTTTTCTCATTATTCCATGCTCCTTGAACCAAGGAATGCAGCATTGATAGTGGCAGCTCAAGTCACATATCACAAACGTCAAATGGCCCCCCTGTGTCCTGTTGTCCACGCCGACAGACGCCCAAAAAACAAAGTAGCTAGGGCGAAGTTTGAGCACATGCTTAAACTTGGAATAATCCGCCCTTCCGACAGCGCTTGATCCTGGCCCCTGCAGATGGTCCCCAAGAAAACCGGTAACTGGCGCCCCTGCGGTGCTTACCGCGCACTCAATCGCTTAACCGGCCCAGATAGGTATCCTATCCCACATATGCAGGAAATTAACGCATGCCACACAGGTGAGACGATCTTCAGCAAATCGATCTGTTTCACGCCTATCACCAGATACCTGTGGCAGACAATGACATACCCAAAACAGCCGTTGTCACTACTTTCCGTTTGCTTGCATTTTTAGGAATGCCATGTGGACTGTGCAACGCCGCACAAACCTTCCAACGCTTCATCCGCAATGTCACTCGTGGCCTAGACTTCGCTCATTACTACTTGATGATATTTTAGTAGCCAGTCCCTCGGAACAAGCGCACCTCTAGCACCTTCGAACTCTCTTCCAGAGCATGACCCAACACGGTGTCACAGTCAACCCGAATAAGTGCGAACTCGGCAGATCAACGGTAGAATTCCTAAGCCACCTCGTTTCACCATCTGGTATCGAAGTCCTTCTTGCTAAGGTCCAGGCAATCCAGCATTTCCCTGCTCCGACTTTGTTCAAGCACCTCCGCCGCTTTTGTGGTTTGGTCAATTACTATCGACGCCTCATTCCGCGCTGCGCTCAGCACATGCAGCCACTGACTGACCTACTACGAGGAATTGACCGTAAGTTCAGTTTCCCTGACACAGCACAGGCAGCCTTCGCCGAGCTCAAGGATGCTACCTCCAATATAGTCATCCTCGAACATTCCGAATCGGGTGTACCCTTTCTATTACGACTCATGCCTCAGACGTCGCTGTAGGAGCCTTCCTCCAAAAACACGTTGGTGAGCAACCGCAACCAATTGGGTTGTTCTTTAAACGTCTGCAGCCAGCGGAATCCCGCTACAGCACGTTTGGCAGAGAACTGTTCGCCATCTACCTAGAGATTCGTCACTTCCGGCACACAATCGAAGGCCGCGATTTCACGATCAACACTGATCACAAGCCCCTTACCTTTGCCTTCAACTCTGCTTGCGACAAATAATCATCACTGAAAACAAGACACTTAGACTTTGTCACGAAATTAGCCGTTGACCCAAGTCATGTCTCAGGTGTCGCCAATTCCTTTGCCGACGCTCTCTCACGCTTCAACCTCACTGTCCAGTCTTTGCCTACCGTCGGCCTTGCCGCATTGCAACGGCTCAGGCACAAGACGAACATATACAGCACATTCTGCAGTCCATTTCGTTGCAAGTGCAACCTGTTAATCTCCAAACCGTGGAAGGAACCATCCTCTGTGACACTTTCACACATTGTCCTGGACCTCTCGTGCCCGTCTCTTTCAGACGCACAGTCTTTGACGCACTGCTCTCACTATCACATCACGGTATCTGTGCATCTTTGAAACTGGTCACCGAGCGTTTCTTTTGGCCACGCGTAAACAATAACGTTCGTACGCGGGCTCGCTACTGCCTTCAATGCTAACACGCCGAAATAACACTTCACACCCACAGATCTGTTGATTCATTTCCAGACCCAGACACTTGGTTCTCGCATGTAAACGTAGACCTGGTAGGTCCATTGCCTCCTTCACGCAGATTCGTATACATTTTTACATTTGTCCACAGCTTCACCAGATGGCCAGAAGCCAGTTCCGTAACAGCTGCAAAGCTGAGACTGTTATACGGGCCTTCTTGGACCGATGGGTATCGCATTCTGGATGCCAATCAACCATCACAACAGACCGAGGAACACCTTTCGAATCTGCACAGTTGGATACGTTCTGCAACTGGTTAGGCTGCCGCCGCATTCATACCCCAGCGTAACACCCAGCAGCCAATGGGTTAGTTGAAGTCTTCCGTGGAGAGCTTAAATCCTCGCGCTGCGAGACCTCCGACCCTAGCTGGAGCGAAAACATTTCTCTGCACCCTTTGACATTCGCAGCAGCATCAATACTGACGTCCACTGTGCACCAGCAGAGATGGTTTACGGCACGACGCTCAAGTTACCAGGAGAATTCGTTTCACGTCCCGCATCGTCGGGTATGCCTCCGCTTAAATTTGCGCACTCCCTAGCTCAACGCATGAGTTCATTACGCCCGACCCCGCTCCGTGAGCAGACTAGAGATATGCAAATGCACCTCGGACTCTGTATATGCACTCACGTGATAATCCGCACCGACGCAGTGCAACACCCTCTCCATCCTCCCTACCCTGTCCCTTTCAGAGTTCTGCAACGGACTCCGAAACGTTTCACTTTAGACCCGAATGGTCACCGAACAACGGGGTCCATTGACCGACTCGAAGTGGCTTTCTTTGCCGAACCACTTGCAGCCCTCCTGAGGCTCTCGCACAAGCACCCGCACCTGTTGTGACTTTCCGAGCACTGAGTAAGCCGGAACCGTTCGTACCCTTTGACCTGCAACCCCAGGCAACCGACCCACGCGGTAGACATTTCAAACGTCCGGTCCGATTTTCAGATTTTGTAAACGTTTGCTATTTCCATTAACATGCCTTTTTCTTCGTTCGTGGTTATCCTGCGTCTCATCCACAAACGTTTTGCAAAAGGGACAAAAGAACCCAAAACATTTTGAGAACCTAAATAGCGTGTATGCTTTTATCATGGATACCATGTTCCCTCTCCGGCGTCAAGCCACTTCCCCGACCGTTGCCCAACCCTCTGAGTTCTACCTTGCAGAAGAGCAACCGCCGGAACTTCCCAGGCCACCCTCGAATGACTCGCATATCGGCTCAACGCAACACTTGTGTAACTCGCCAGCTGTCCCAAAGCCCCCTTCCTCACCCAAGGAACAGACATCGCCCTCGGCCGCAGACATCCACTACCGGATTTGTCCCCAAACGCCGCCTGGGTATTGCCAATGAGGACGCCCGCATTTCTTCGTGGGACGAGAAACGTGTACTAAAGTGCGGTAGGGGGAATGATACCTTCTAAACGCACCGTCGGGTTTGCAGCAAAGAGAAGGTCCTGTCGGCCATTTTTCTGGACTAGCCAATTTTGCAGTCCGACCAGCCCGCAACGACGACCCACCGATGATGCACTGTGGTCCACACGATCGTCATTAATGATAACAAAAAAGCCTGGATCCAGCGAAGTCTGCTACACACCACAATTGGAAGCGCTTACCCAAGCGCCTGCAAATATTCACATCCACCCTCACCTTCCGTTTTCCCCCACTAACAGCTCCATCGAAGGCTTCCACACTTCAGCCTTCGAGGAAGAGGCCTTTGTAGTGTACCGGAAAACAAGCTCATTCAGTATTTTGTGACATTGCATTTTACGGTTGTTTTAACCTTCAAAACGTCTACTTGGTTTACTGACTGCACCTCCGTTGACACAACCCGTTTTGGGGAGCACTTAGCTGCACGTTTCTCGCTCTGTTTGTTTCGTTTCCTATTCTTCTAGCCTGCACAATATACGTTGTGTTCAGTCGCCACCGACTTCCATACTGTCGTATGGGATACGTCTTCTGTTTCAGTGCTTACGGACTAACGTCCCAAGCACCGCCCCACAGGTTGAAACAGATTGCAGCTTAGTCGTATACCCAGAAAACGTATTTATTAAATTCGAAATTACGTTTAGTGCGCAGGCGCGTGAAATAAAAATGTCTACAAGATAATTCAGGTAAGATCACCTCAACCTTTCTTTCCACATTTTAACTCGGATGGTTCCATCGGGATTGAGCGGCATTTTTTGCCCTATGCAGTTGATTTGTCGCTGTGAGCATCCCATTAAGTTGCTAAAATCAAGGAGGCTTTATGTGCACTCTGTCGTCAGTTTGTCAACTCATGTGGAATACATCTGAGACCGTTTGCATGAGCTAATCCAAGATAGGATATCCCTGTGGCAGCAACAGAACGAAGCTAAAGGAGATGCCGTTTATTTGGCATTTAAACAGACGCTTTACTGGTAGGCGAAAGTTACTTCCATATGTGTACCAATGTCTAAGGTTTTGGCTCAAATTTCTCTAGCGACATGCAGTTTGGAAATAAAAGATAAGGCGCGCCTGAGCACATACATAACGCGGATCATCAAAGGGAAGTCCTAAGAGATAGGCATGTCCTTCCAGCCCTATATAAAGCTGAAGCTATCAAATTGCGAACAATGCCTAATTTTGTTTGTATTTGTCACTTACACATGACCTAATACGCCGTCCTTGACCGACTTTTGATAGCACGACGCGTGCTTCGTAATGATCGACTCTGTAATAGCGGGCTTACTTGAATCGGTGCAGCCTCTTGCACTGAAGTACAGCAACCAGATGGATCCACAAAATTAATTTGCAACGTATCATTATTTGGAATAAAAATTTATTTAATCGTTCATTTTAAACACAGAAACAGTAATTAAAAGTTTACGTATACATTATTGAAGCAAATAGAGTGCATAATATCGTCCGCTCGAAATATGTGCTCCAAATTACTGAAAGAAATGTTGTGCGTAAATACAGCATGATATATTAACAAAAATAGTAGAAGGTAATTTTCAGATATGACACAACCGCCACATTTGTACCGCAGAACTCCCGCATGATTAGCACTTTTTTGACATTGTGACTCAGGTGCCCTCCGCGCTGGGTTCGTCGGATTCGTTTAGTGGGAATGTTTTATTTAGGTTTGCGGTTTTAGTTGACTAACAATTACTGTACAGATTTACTACAACTATTTTCCTTCTAGGCATGCTCTGACGTGTCATGTTTTTGTGCCCTTCTGCTTTTGATGGGTTTTATGCTTTAAGTTGTTTGCCCAGTGTATCTAATGCACTACACGAATGACAAACTAGTAGGATAATTCCTTATGCATATATTTAAGTCACATTTAAGTCACACAAGACTTAATTAGCGGGCGTTTGAGTATGCTCAACGTAGCCGCGATCCTCACGCTTAATCCCTGCTCTCAAGACCTGCGCACCGTGCCCCCGGGCTTGTTGTGTAATTTTTTCGGTTTTCGGAAACTTTTACTTGCATGTAATTAGAATGACTTTAGGTACATTTGGTGCTGCAAGGTGTTTTTGCACTGTTTGTTATTTAGTGTCATTTCTTAGGTTCCCTGCCAGTTCCGTAGCGAATGTAAACTTCATTTTCAGTTGTACTTTATAGTTCCATCTTTTTATTTATTGTACATTTCTTTTTGTATTACATGAATCGTGCCAATAATTCCTCGCAACCTGGCTTTCTTCGAGTGCTTCAATAAATGACTCAGATTAGGTCGAGTAGAACGGACGAGAGGTTTTCCTCTAACGAGCATCCAATCTTTTGTGCCGGGAATTGAAGCGGCCCTCGGCACTTCGAAGTTAGATTGACTTTTTACTTTGCGAAGGAATGAGGCAAGAACAAGAGCAATCTTTACACTTTCATATGTCAGCATCAAACTACGCTACATATTCCAGAACACTTACCATATATGGGAAAAGCATAGACCAACACTTATCTAAACCCTTTTTGAAGTTTTTTACATACTTACCCTTCACTAATCAGAAGGAAGTTTATCCCAAATGTTAACTACTCGTTTCTTAAAAAATTCTGCCCTGATGTCCAAACGAGCTTTACGATGTTTGAGCTTTAGGCGATGCCCGCGTAGGTGGTCTAACATAGCTAACTCAAACAGATGGGTGTGACTAATACCACTAAGTCCCCTAATGATCTTAAACGTCTATCAAACCCCCTCTCAACCTTCGCCATTCCTGGGAAAATAAACCCAAGCTACTTAGACGATCTTTGTTCGACTACCCTCGTTGACCTTCGATCATCCTCATCGCAAGTTTCTGAATCTTTTCTACACATGTCGTCAATACGGAGGTACGGTGCCTAGGCTTGAACCCTCCTCCAAATGTGGCCTAACCACTGCTTTACCTAAAAACAAGAATACCTCTGCTTTACGGGTACAATTTGACAGCCTGTCTTGACACTAACACGGATTGTCCCTGATCAGGCACCAAACATTCTGGACCTCGTTTTCACGTCGGCCCCATCTGATGTCAGGTCTAACGATCTTCCATTCTCTTGGGAAGGGTGATCACTGTACAATCTCCTTTTTGTGAACACGACGCCTCACAATCCATGATCACGTGCCACCATCAGAAGGACCCCCGTTGATTGATAAAGTAAAAACGACGGAAACTATGGGGCTATTTCAAGAGCACAGGACTGACATCGAGCTACTTAGATTACATAACTGTCAGCAACCTATACACTGAGAAAACGAGACAAAAGACTACAATATGCACATGGACTTCCATAAAATCCAAAAACTGTTCCGAAATCTTTTTGCCTACCTGAGGCGAAATGCCAAAACGGATGGTGGAATCTCCGCTCTATCCTCTTCTAAGGAAGGTACCGTTCTCTACAGCTATGATGAAAATGCAAACCTACTGGCTGCGCAATATTTCTCGGTCTATTCAGTAGAACTTTCGCTACTCAGCAACTGTTTGCCTGCAATCTACTCCTATATGGACGAAGTTGAAATTAACCCGAGGTAGTCACTAAGCTACTCCTTGAACTGGACCTGAGCTCCTTCCCAGGCGCAAACGGATTGTATCCCAGCTTCCTCAAAACGATAGCTGAGTACGTCGCCGCCCCTCTGTGCCAAGTGTGTCGGCAATCCCTCGAAGTCGGCTGTCTACCCACAGGCTGGAAAGCAAGTACCGTCCTGCCTAAATACAGGGGGGGGGAAACCAACTAGACCTAGCGAACTACCGGCCAACATGCCTGACGTCACTCGTATGCAAATCTATGGAACGAATTGTCAATTGCACCCTCCAGCTACACTGTGTGCATCTAGACCTCATCTCACCTGCTTAACATGGCATCTGGTGAGCACGCCCATGCATTACTAACTTACTCATCGCCAGTGAAACTGGGCAAAAGTCATAGATGACTGAGAACAGGTCGATCTAATATTCATTGACTTCAGCAAAGCCTTTGATAAAGTTCCACATGTACGACTGCTACAAAAACTCTAGGGAATTGGCATTACAGGAAGTCCTGGATTGCCGATTCCTTAAGAGCTAGGACAATGCGCGTACAAATGTACCAAACCCTCTCTGCTCCAGTGCTTATGACTAGTGTCGTTCCCCGAGGATCAGTGCTTGGACCAGAGTTCTTCAAACTATACGTTAACGATCTGCCGTCTGTACTTCAAACCAACTGCTTGGTCTACGCCGATGACCTCAAGCTATGGTCAACAGTACCCAGCCTTGAGGATACGGACAGATTACACGGGGCTCTAGACCAGCTACAGGAATGGTCCATCAAGTGGGAATTGCCAGTCAACCGAGATAAATGTGATGTTCTCCCAATGGGTAGCACTGAACCGTACGGTGCATACCAGATTAGTGGGTTTTTCCTTAGGAATACCACTCATGAGGAGGTCTCGCGGTTATCGTGGCTTCTGACCTTAGAACGACGCAGGACGCGTTGGAGGTGACCACTAAAAGGAAACTAGTAGGTGCCTTAAGATCATTCGCCCGAATGATTCCTGGGATCTTTCGTTCGTTTCCTTCGTTCACTACCTACGTCCGTCCAGTCTTAGAATATGGCCTACCAGCTATTCATCCGCTTTCAAAGTTTACATGCGCTTTGCTGGAAATGTTTCAGAGACGTGCATCGAAAGCTGTTCTGGGGCTTCTTGATCTCCCGTACCCCACTCGACTCCAGCAGTTAAATCTGTTCTCCCTCGAGCACCGCCGTCGCCGGGATGGTCTTATCTACACTAGGTCACACATGGAGACTATTTAAGCAAATAAGAAAAATTCGCATGGATGTCGCCTTATCCACTAGCGTGGGGAATGAATGGAACAGCCTACTGGAAGAAATTGCAGACGTGACATCCGAGGAAAGTGGCTACTAGACAAACATTCGCTAAGAATGCTGGAATTTTGCGGTTGTCATTGCGATTGCAACGAACCCTCGAGGAACGCCGTAATGCAACGACACGCATCAAACCCAGCATGATAGGGAATCGATGGGGCTGACAAGGGATTTCCCTCCTGTTCATTACAACTCAATGAAATCGGGATACAGGAAGTACCGTCCTGGGTGCCAAAGTGGTTAAAGATGCCAGAATCAATTATTACATCGAAGTACTGAGAGCTGTTCTCTCTTACCTACACGCGAAACGGGACGCTGGTAAAGAGTGGGCTTATTTCGTCTCTAGATCCTCCGCTGTTCTTTCGGTGTTCTTGATGCGCATGCCTTCGTCATTCTTGTTTGGCGTGGTTGCTCTGTGTCTGGTGAGTGATATCGTTACTGGCTCGGATTGCGTTCTTGTCGAGGCACAAGGTCAATTTCAGACACTTAGAATTAACCGAAATTTGGATTAAATGTTTACCTAGCTGACTGAGCTTTTCGTTAGCCATTTCGTATAGTCCTTTTCCACTACAGCTCCGTCGGACGATCGACCCTCGGTTTTCCGTCCGCTTACGGATTCATATCGGTGTGTGTAAGGCGAAAGGCAAACTACCGGCCAATCTCTTTGGCATAGATGATTTCTAAAAGCATGAAAGGAATTCTTAAAAGAACCCTAAATCTTCACCTGGAGAGCCTGCATATCCTATCATGCGCTCAACATGATTTTCGGAAGTCACGTTTTTGTATCTCTAATTTGCTTGTTGCGAAGTGAAAATGGGAAGATCGCTCAATGCCGGTAATCGTATGAATATTGTTTTCGTCGACGTTAGCAGGGCATCTTACAAAGTTCCTCTTGGACTTCTCATACTCCGGGGAATTGGCGTTTCTGAGAAACTTCTCTCCTGAGTCGCCATCTTTCTGCATGGCCGAAGCATGCAAGTTAAATTGAACAATACTACTCAATCCAGTTTATATGATCTGCGGGCCCTCACAGGTCTTTGCCCTTAGGTCTTCAAAATCTACATCAAGAATCTTCCGTCAGCTCCAAACTGATTACCTCATATATGCTGATGATAAACTGGGGCTAGAGTTACCCAAACTTGGTGATGTCAACACGCTACAGACAACGCTGGACCAGTTGCACTGCTGAGCAGTGGAGTGGTAGCTACCCACTCACCATACTAAGTGTTTTGTCCTCCCAATTGGTGTTCCGGACTTCTTTGTTGTTTATCCTATTGGGGGCTTACTGCTCAGGAACGCAACCCTGGAGAAGGATCTTTGAGTTATTGTCTCGGCAAACGTACGCACGACTCAAGTCACCCTAAAGAAAGTTGCCGCTGCTACTAGGATATTCTTCTATATACGGAGATCCTTTCCCAGATGACTTCAGATATATTCCGACTTCTCTTCCGCTCTCATGTTCGGCCATTTTTTGTTACGGATTGCCAGCATCATATCTTCTCACGAAAGATGAATGTATACTGATAGATAAGATTCAGTAACGGGGATCGAAATCCGTCATGTCACTCAGAAACCTGTCTTGTTCTGTTGGCCTTCAAAGAATGAACTAGTTCTCCCTGGAGTATCGTCGTCGCCGTGGTGACTTGATTTACGCGCCACGTGTTCTCCTAGGTAAGATCGAGGCAGAGGGACAAAGGTTCTTTCGTCTTTGTGCGGACAGTTCGACACGAGGCCACGGTATAAAGCTGTTTAGACCAATAAGGCATTGGG